GGATTACGTAATGTTCATCTTCTGCTTATCTTTCATCTCGGGAGGAGTTGCTCCCCTGTTTATGCGAAGGCACCCATGTGTGAAGCGCATGGTCCAGGACACACAGCCAACTCAGTGTTGGTCCGGGTAACATTGTCGGATTATCGGGTTCCCAATTATTCAGTGAAAACTTGAGGTGAATCATTTTATTCATTCGCACGAAAAGATCAGGTTTCGCTTCGATCATGTTAATTTCGGGCATGCTAGTGACAGTGGTCGGCCTGCTGGCTGCAACTATTCTTTTCCAGAAATTTCGGAGATGGCTGAAGATGCCACCTGGTGAGTTGCTTCGAATTATAATTCTTACACGGGACGTGCTGCAGAATAAACTTGCGGTTCCACAGGACCATGGGGCATTCCAATTTTCGGGTACATTCCTTGGGTCGACCCCATTTCCCCATGGGAGACCCTGACGAAACTTGGCAAGAAATATGGCCCAGTGATGTCGGTAAACTTCTGTGGGGCTCAGCAGATTGTTTTAAATGATTGGGAAGCCATTTCTGAGGCCTTTTCCATGACAGTTTTGAACGATCGCCCGCGGTTTATTCTTTTCGAAACAACATCAGCAAACCAAAAAGGTCAGAACATTTTTTTTAAGGCAGCTGATGGGATCGCGTTTGAGCAGGTAGAAATAATTAATTCATTGCAGGACTCAATGCCCCACAGAAGGTGTGGCATGACAACCGCTCTTTCCTTGTTAAGAGCCTGAAATATTTCGGTGTTGGAAGGTCCAGCATGGAATCCGTAGTTGCTCACGAAGTTCTGTCACTTCTCGAATCATACCGAGAGACAAATCTCGGGAAACCAATGGAAATTGACGGGAGATTAGACGTCGCGGTCATGAATGTCGTTTGGAAAATCTCCACCAGTATGTGTCCCACAAAAATCATAACAGCCAAATTTTCGTGCAAGTTTATTGGTTTCGAGTAGATAGGCAAACAAGCCTTGATGATGAAAAGGCGCAAAAGATGATTGACTTGCTGCGGAAATTTGGGGATTACGTCAACCAACTCGGTCCAGCTCAGTTTTTCCCAATCCTTTTTAAGCTCGTGCCAAAATACCGTCGAATAATGGACCAAGTTCGAGCTGAAGCTCCGGAAGTATCTCGAGAATTTCAGGTATGACCTAAAGTCAATTTGAAATGTACATTGAAAGATACAGTATCTGATAAAATTACAAAGCAGCAGGCCGCGATTGTAAAACAAAATTGTAAGAAGGAGAATGCGCCATATTTCCGTCAATCAACCTAAACGTTCGCCTTCTGGTATTTTATTTCTTTGGAACTTATCTGTTGAGGTTTTTTTCTTAACACTAATTCTTTAGATGCGTGCTCTTCAACGATGGCATATTTTTTTCAAGCTTTGCTCTTAATAGAACTGTTCTATTGAGACCTTCTCACTTGATGTTCAACTGAATTATTTTTATCAGAGAGAAGTTGAGGAACATAAAAGATTATTCAAGGAGGCCGCATCTGAGGTACCACAGGATCTAGTTGATGACTACCTAAACGAGCGAAAAAAGCGAGAAAACGTGAACCCTGAAAACGCTGAATCTTTCGCAGGTATGGCAGAATAATTTCTACATGATACTGTAAACTGTTAGTTGAATTTTTTTGTTTTTTCTAATTCAGACGAGCATCTCATCGCAGTAATAACTGCGCTCTTTGCTGCCGGAACAGACACGACAGCAACTACCTTGCGATACGCATTCATATACTTGGCCAAGCACCAAGATGTGCAGAAAAAGTGCCAAGAACAACTCGATTCCGTGGTAGGGAAAGGACGACTGCCTTCATGGGATCATGACAAGCCAAGGCAACTTTCATTTCATATTAAAAACATGCGGTGGTGTGAATATTATTTAGTCTAATCAAACTGTATTCAGGCTTCCATATGTTGAAGCTGTCGTTAGAGAAATTCAGCGTTGTGCTGACATCACACCACTTGGGGTTCCACATGCTGCTGTGTGTGATACGGAATTCAGAGGCTATCTCATTCCCAAGGCACGTTTCGGAAACGAGTTTTCAAAATTCTTACTCAAAATTTAAATGTGTTATTATTCAGGGAGCATGGATCGTCTCAAATATTAATGCTTGCCATAGAGACCCGAAATATTGGCCGAACCCTGAGAAATTTGACCCAACTCGATTCTTGGATGAAAGTGGCGAAAGTTTGAAGAAGCACATCCCGAGTTTCTTGCCTTTTGGGGCCGGTGGGTTACGTAACTGAACGTTGTTGTTGTTGGTATTCGTATGATGAAGGATAACGATTCTTGCAGGAAAACGCCGATGTCTGGGAGAACATTTGGCTTACATGGAATTATTCTTACATATTGCGTACCTGCTGTCCATGTTCAATGTCAACTTCCCCGATGGGTTCGAACCGGACATCAAAATAAACCATGGTGACCCAATTACCCGACGACCTGCCCCGTTTCGTGTCATTCTTACTGACCGCGCGTAATTCACTTTGTTACGGTTGCCTATTTCGGACGACCATGCATTGTATTCTCCAGCAATTTCGTTTTTAAAGATGTATTAACCGATACGAAAACAATCGTTGCTTACAATCAGTAAAAAATAAATGACTCTTTGTTCCTTTCGGTGCGTGGAAAATTTTATTAAAGAGACGATGTCGGATGAAGTGAAGCTCTTTTTCCTGGTGTGACGTTAAAAGCTCTGTGTGCTGTTCTAATAATAATTATAGTAGATTAAAAAATTAATCTAAAAAACCACGTTTTCAGCAAAAAATAACCTTAAACGTGGTGCGCATCTATTTCATTTGTATTTCACTTCTTCTCAACAATCTCCATGCACACCACGTTTAAGGTTATTTTTTGCTTTTTGAAAACGTGGTTTTTTAGATTAATTTTTTAATCTACTATAATTATTTTATTCTTTTTAAAAAATATTCTTAAAATTTATTTTTTCACAAAAGATTGCATTGTCATCAGTTTCTAGGCTATCCTGAAAGTTTCAGCTTGATAGCTAGTCNCTCTGAATTGTGCCTGTGATATCATCCTGTCAGGATTACTGAATCAAGTTTTTTTTCTGAACTTGCTCTCTCCGAGGTAAACGCGCAGGTCATGTCGACCTTGGCATATACTGTACGAACTGACCTTATTTTCAATCTTTATATAGCATTTATTTTGCAGATCGCATGTCAGAGTTACAATGTAATTTTTGTGAAAGAAGATGTGCAAATTTAGAGCAATGTATTTTGCTGATTGTGGCGTCCTCTCCCCAGTAAAAATTTGTATTGCGACGAAACTCGCGAACACTTACAGATAGAAGCGCATTATACACTTGATTGCATGGCGCAACTGCGATTGCGCAAGTTCTTGCTTGAAGTCCCGAGGCAGAAGGCTGTTCATTTCATCTCCTTGTGGGAACACGGTCAAATCCCAAGAACGAACGAAAAGAAATTACAGTAGATTAAAAAAAGTACCACATTTGAGGATTTTTTTTTACAGTGAAGCAAGAATGGCCCTAACCGGTTTACTATTAGCAAGTGTTCTTGTGCTTTTTCTTACCTTTTCCCTTCGATTGCTGTGGCGATGGCAGAGAATGCCACCCGGTGAGTACATCATTATTTTAGGATTCCATGTGATTTCGATTGATTCGAATTATATTTGAAAACAGGACCCTGGGGAGTTCCTCTGATTGGTTACATTCCCTGGGTGAACCCGATTTTCCCTTGGGAAACTTACACAACTTTGAGTCGTAAATATGGTCCAGTAATGTCCGTGAACTTCTGTGGGACGCCGCAAATAATTCTCAGCGACTGCGAAGCTGTGTCTGAAGCATTATCAATGATGGCATTTATCGACCGACCTCATTTTCTACTATTTGAAGTGCTTTCGGTTACGGGAAAAGGTTTGTTTCAGTGATTGGGGATAACTTGGGCATGATGAAAACGAAGAAAGAATCTCACCTGAAGGGTTTGTTGGAAACAGCAAGATTTGGCACGAGAATCGGACCTTCGTGTTGAAAAGCTTGAAATCCTTTGGTGTTGGGCGAGTGAGTCTGGAAACATTGGTTGCCAACGAGGTTGTTTCGTTGATTGATTCCTACAAAGCCAACAATCTTGGGAAGCCGATGGCTATTGACGGACGATTAGACGTTGCCGTGCTCAATATTGTTTGGAAACTTGCCACAAGTCAGTGCAGATTACCAGGATCTAGTAGAATCATATGGCTGATCGTATGACGTATTCGAATTAGACAAACAGACAAGTCTGACTGATGAAAAGGCGATTCGAATGATCCAGAAGCGACGGAAATTTGGTGATTACGTCAACCAACTGGGTCCTGCGCAGTTTTTGCCATCACTAATCACTTTTGTACCGAAATTTCGTCACCTGATGAAAGCTGCAAAGGATCTTTCACCAGAGCTTACAGATGAATTCAAGGTAACGAAACATTTTTAGGTTTTGAAATGGATGGTGTTCCAGAGCAAAGAGCTTCTAGTTCAAATATGATTCAGAAAATAAATGTAGTACATGATACGATCGTGTATGATTTTTCAGAAGCCTCGAACATTTCCTCTAGTTCAGGGTATAGGAGCTGCACTAACTTCAAATTCATTCATCCGGCGTGATGGATAGATTTCTTGCAGTTCCAGATTTAGAAAAAAGAAAAACATGATTCATTGAAAAATTCCAAAAATTAGATAAATCATTTCGTTCCTTTCGGTTTTACCCCTTCAATGAAAAATCGGGGAGACTTGAATTACTTGCAACGTTCCTTATGGAAAAGAGTTGCTTCGTACGTGCTTGGAAGCTGTGTAAAAGAAAAGTTTTGAACATACAATATAACGGACATGTACTGAAACTTACCTTGTTGATTAAAAAAGCAGTCATGTTTCTACACTGCAAGCTATGAATTTTTCAAACGTGAAAAAACAATGCACTTTGTAACTACATTTATAAAGGTGTTCAGAAGACGGAGAAAATTTCTAATGCTAGCAAATTAAGTGTGTTCTCTTCCGGCTTAAATATTTTCCCCCGTAAAAAATAAAATAAAATATTTTCGTGACGTTTAACATCATTTCTGCTGGACTCACAAACTTACATTTTCATTATTTCCACTGAACTGTATCATCCATCAAATTTCCGGCGAATTATGCAGCATATTTTATGTTTCGATGGACATCCTTGAGAATTATTCTCATTTTTTATTCAATAGGTGCAACAAACTTTAAATTTCACCGTCATTATTTAATCAATAATCTTTGCACGTCTCTTATCACAGTCGTCCAAAAGTGTAATTTAAAAGGAAATACGCTTCTAAAGAACTGAAAAATCTCAAGCTTTGTCATCAATCTCTTAGACAAGGAGATCGCTCACCGCAGAATTTTCCATTGAAAAAAATAGAAGGAAATTGAGGAGCACAAAGCTTTACATCAAGGGAATATCCCGCACATGCCGCAAGATATAGCTGATGATTATATTGCTGAGCGGATTATGCGAGGGGCTAAAAATCCTCAGGACGCCGAAGCTTTCTCAGGTATTCATTAGTTTTGCAAGTTGACTTTGAAAGAAAAAGAAAGAACTGAAGATCTTGGTGCATCAGATGAACACCTGTCGGCGGTTATCACTGCACTGTTCGCTGCTGGGACTGAGACGGTTGCTACAACACTGCGTTACTCGTTTATTTTGCTGGCCCAATATCGTGATGTGCAAAAT